GAGCAAAATGAAGTCCAAGAAAGCTGACGCTTCAGCAAATATATCAGCCTTTAAGACGCCACAAGAAGCCTTTTAGTTCTTGTTGCGACAAACTCCCGCCGGCATTTGTAAACGCACCAACGCCGGTTTGACGTCACAGAGTTGCTGACGCCTGTTATGCCTAGAAGGGCATTTTGCTGCAGCAAGTAAAACAATGAGTACGGCGAGGAAGGGGTCGCTCTGATGGTAAACTGGCAATCTTTCACTAATGTGTATGTTTCTGCAGGAGGGTGTTGATCCTGTCGACTCCATATCTCTCCTTCCTTTTAATAAGGTCGCTGGGTGATAAGCTTGTGGAATGAGAGCAGAGAGACTTGGAGGGCCTCACAAGTGCTTGTTGTGGTTTTGACAAGCATTGGTGAAAAGTTGTAGCAAGGTGAAACTACCTTGTATTTTTGGTCCAGCGAGACCACTGTTGATTAGCCATGGCACCCTAAGATCTCCGGTAGAGCAAAAGTTTCCCATACTTGCTATCTGAGTTCCCTGTTAACCAGGGGTCATTTCATAGAAAAAGAGGTACAGGAGCTCATTAGCATAACTTATTAGCATAACTTATCTGCATATGCCACACACCCTGACATCACCGGAAGTGTGTCAGAAGGCAACACCCACCGCTCAGGCTCCACTGGACTGTTTTGGATTGCTAGCTATGGGGGGGGGGGACGTGCAGATCTGTCCTCACAGAGGAGGGAGAGCTTGTACCTGAATCAAACTTGGTCTTAAAGGTGCCGCTGGAGTATTTTGGACTGGGGGGCTGGGGGGGGAGGCTCTGCAACTTACCTGGCTGCTTCTTGCTCTGACTGAGGTCTGCTGGGAGCAGGGGGTGGGGCTTGTTGCATGTGCCCGCCCCCTGGGCTCTTTACTGCCGGAGCTCCGCTCCTGTGCGCTCCTGCAGGAAATGACCCCTGCTGTTAACTGAAGAGAAAGAAAAGAGCAAGAGTCCAGTCGCACCTTAAAGACTAACAAAATATGTGGCAGGGTAGGAGCTTCTGTGAGACACCGCTCACTTCTTGCTCTTTTCTGCTGCTACAGGCAGACTAACACGGCTACCCATCTTGAAGAGAAAGAAAGAAGATTACACAGTGGGGACCTGTGGTACGCTCCACCATTGAGCTCTGGCCCTTGAAGAGAACAAGAGGTGATCTTTGGGAAGAAAGGGCATGCTCTGGAATTGTTGAGAAAGGTGAGATAGCTGCTCCCCAAGATGGCTAATGCTGAACTCACTCGCTTTCAATAAATGGTCCATGCTTGGTCCTAAGGTGGGTCACACCCAAGAGTGGCCCTACCAAAGGGGGCATTGAGACAAATGCCTCAGGGAATAGAATTGCGTCACCGCTGTAGCGATGTCGCATGTCCTCTTAGGCCATGCTTAGACCATAGCTTGTGGCAGTGGGCAATCACCCACTCCAGCTCTTGGTTCCCTACCATTGATAATCTGAAGACTGGGAGAAATAAATGGTGTGGGGGAATGGTATTGATAGCGACATTCTAGGAATTCCCACCATTCTCTACTAAATACCATAGAGGTGTGAAGGGATTCCTAGGGCATCGCCTGGAAGTGATGTCGCATTCCCCCCAGAACTCCACTTTCCCCAGGCACAGTCCCAGCAGGCCACTCTACAAGGCAGAAACCACCACAAAGAATGCATGTGTGCCAGTCTTACCCATTTGCAGGTTGGCACCCACCGAAGGCTTTGCTAAGATGACCAAAGCTATCGTGGTTTCTCCCCCCCGCCCCCCAATGAGGAAGCATTTATTTAGCCATGCAATAACAGTTCTTAATTGTAATTTATTAAAACATTAACTGTCTCTCTGCCCCAAACATGGAACACAGATCTAGATTCACCCCCTTGCCATACTTGAATGTATAAAATATATTCGTATTGTATTTGCCATATATAGAATATATTAATGTTATACTTGGCGTTCAAGATCTGCTGACCTCTTAACCTGAGTGCAACCTATAGCCAGAAAAAAAATTCTAACATTGCTTGATAAAAGGAGAAGACGAGAAGTTACTGCCATACCCACAAGGCCTCCTGTCTTCTCTTTATAATCCATGTTTGTTTACGGTTGTTTAAAAGATATTATCCGGCGGCTTCCACAAACATTGTTATCCAGACCACAGGTGATGAAACTGCCGGTTGAGAAACAGTACATTTCGTGGAAAATTGGGAAACTTAGATGTTGTTACTCATGGGGAAAATCCGGATTGCAGGAAAAGGTCACTTTCAGCAGTGACCTAATTGAAAAGATTATTTAATCAGGATGGAATGTGTGGGTTTCTTGCTCAAGAGCCTTGTTAGCAATCAGAACCCATAAAAAAGAATCTTATGGGACTGTCTACATTGACTGTGCAATAAGCGTTTGTGGGGGAAATATGGTTGCCAGGCCGCAACCACAGCCCAGATGTACTTATCTGGAAAAAACAACTCTCAGATTCTAAACCAGGAGACAAGCTTGTGACAGCGACCCACCATCTGTGGTCTGAAGGGGTCTGGTCCCTTCTGCCACCTTGGAATTCTGCCGTTCTGTTCCACTGCATGGAACTACCAGACCAACAAGCTGGTTTGGTGTAGTGGTTAGGAGCAGGGGACTGTAATCTGGGAGAAGCAGGTTTGATTCCCCACTCCTCCACAGTCCACGCGCAGCTGCTGGCGTGACCTTGGGTCAGTCATAAGTTCTCTCAGAGCTGTTCTCTCAAGGGCAGTTCTCAGGAAAGCTCTCTCGGCCCCACTTACCTCACAGGGTGTCTGTTGTGCAGAGGGGAAAGCAAAGGAGATTGTAAGCTGCTCTGAGACACCTTCAGGCACTGAAGTGTAAGGTATAAATCCAATCTCCTCCTCCTCCTCCTCCTCCTCCTCCTCTTCTTCTTCTTCATACATGAGTATGGCAGGACCATGTCTAATGCTTTCAGTTTATTTCTCCTGTATATTTATACACCCCATTCTGTTCTCAGGGCAGTCATGCCAGTGCAGTATAGCCGACTGGGAATACCTTCATTCAAATCAAAGCTGCATTGGGTGACCTAGATCCAGTCATTCCGTACCTCTTCAGATGTTACATCCATGCATACCAGAAGACTGGCAACCACACACATTAGAACAGGGCTATTTTTGGGCAGGAACGCACAGGAACGGAGTTCTGGCTGGCTCCTGAGTTGGCCACGCCCAGCAGGAACTCATTAGCATAATAGGCCACACCCAACAGCAGAAAGTCATTAGGATTGGCTACATGGCTCCAGTACAAGCAAATTTATGCAGTAGCCCAATCACTCACTCACAACTTGAATACCAGTAGCTCACAAAGTAGAATTTTTGCTCACAAGACTCCACAGCTTAGAGGGAGCATTGATTAGGAGCATGCACTACCCATAATGCTCCCAGTCTGCACAGGCACCAGTGGTCCATTTGTGATTTGTGAATACCGAACTCGTACATGCATGCAAAATACGTGTGTTGCCCCTGTTCGGACAACATGGTGACCGTGCCTATCGAGAGGATCAATGTACAGAGTTGGGAGGCTCCTGGTATGAGGGTATGAGGAGAAAGGGGGGGGGGATTTGTCCAAAGTGGTGTCACTTCTGGGGGAAACTCTAGGAATCCTCCAATACTGTAAGCTCTTGGAGGATTGGCTACACTAGGGGTGTGTGGCCTAATATGCAAAGGAGCTCCTGCTACCAGTAGAGCCCTGGGTTTATACCATAGTGACTGGGGGATTCCTAGAGTGTTGCCCTTTGCTTCCAGGTTCAGACACATTTCCCACCCACATTTTCTATTGTCGCAATGATTGGTCTTAACAGGCATGTGAGTGGATTAGCAGGCAAACCACCCACTGGGTGTGGACAGATGGCAACCTTACCCAGTGATCTGGGGATGGAATATCGGCTAGGATTGCCAAACTCCAGGTGGGAGATAAAGACCTCCTGGAATTAGACTACATAGATCACTTATTTTTTATTTATTTATTGAAAACATTTATTCCACCTGAAGAAAATGGCTGCTTTGGAAGGCGGACTACGTGTCATTTTACTCTGCCAACGTCACTTCCCTCCCGAAAGCCCACTTTCCCAGACTCTACCCTCAAATTTCTAGGTATTTCCAAACCCTGAGTTTGCAGCACTCCTCCCCTCTGACATTTGTCTACTTGGCAGCATCCTTGTGAGGATAAATCAAGGAGGAAAGAATGCCATGCTGAGCTCCCTGGAGGATGGACAAGATAATCAACTAATTAATTCCCATAGAGCAGTGTGTGTAGTCTAGCCAGGAGAACCTAAGACTGTCTGGCGGCCAAAAGTTCTAACTCTTTGAGCGTTATGCACCACTAGGTGGCGAGCCAGGCATTTCAGGGGTGGTTTGCCATTGCCTGCCTCTGTGTCACGTCCCTGGTATTCCTTGGAGGTCGCCCATCCAAGTACTAGCCAGGGCCAACCCTACATATCTTCTGAGATCTAACGAGAATTCAGGGTAGCCTGGGCTATCCAGATCAGGGCTATCCAGAGCAAGATAGAAATGCAATAAGAGGTTTGGTCCTGAGCTCCCCAAGCCGAGCCGGCTACCCTACAGCTCTGCCCTGAATGGCCACCCGTGTCCTTTTATACCAAGCGTACCTTTTGTCCTTCACTCACCTTCGAGGACTTAGCCTCAAACACCTGAGTGTGTTTCCTTCAGGAGGGTGGAAGGGTCGTCCCAAGGTGACGCTCCCCGCTGAGTGTTTATTCTTTCCCTTCCAGGTCTGTCACCTCCTGGTGTGAGATTTTTAAAAAGCACACACGCAAGAGGGCTTGGCCGTGCTGCTGGGAACCACCTGTCAGCCCCAGAGCAGGGTGGCACCCGCGGGAATTTATAAAAGGGGGCAGCGGGAAGGGGACACTGTTTACTTGGCTGTGCGGTGCCTGCATCAGCCACACATTAGAGATCTGCTGGTTGGCCGCAGAAGCGACCAGGCCCAAAGGGATCAAGATGGGGAAAGCGGTAAGCAATGCTCCCTCTAAGCCGTGGAGTCTTGTGAGCAGAAATTCTACTTTGTGGGCTACTGGCATTAAAGTTGTGAGCAAGCCATTTGGCTGCTGCCTAGATTAGTTTGATCTGGAGCCATCCCTTCCTGAGCGGGTGTGTGGCCTAACATGCAAAGGAGTTCCTGCTACAAAAAAAGCCCTGGGTTTTGACAACAAACAAGGTAAATAGAATAAGAAGCAAAAGGTGGGTGTGGCTGGATGACCACACTTCTGGTAACATGGGGGTGCGGCCTAATATGTTAATATGCTGTGCTGTCAGGGGTGTGGCCTATTATGCTAATGAGTTCCTGCTGGGCTTATTCTACAAAAAGAGCCCTGCATTAGAAGCAGTGTTCTCTCTAAGCTAAGTGCGAGCTAGCTCACAGGTTTTTAGCCTTCAGCTCGCACGTTTTTGTCTTAGCTCAGGTCAGGAAGGATGGCTCCAGTACAAGCAAATTTATGCAGTAGTCAAATCACTCACTCACAACTTGAATGCCAGTAGCTCACAAAGTAGAATTTTTGCTCACAAGACTCCACAGCTTAGAGGGAGCATTGATTAGGAGCATGCACTACCCATAATGCTCCCAGTCTGCACATGCACCAGTGGTCCATTTGTGAATACCGAACTCGTACATGCATGCAAAATACGTGTGTTGCCCCTGTTCGGACAACATGGTGACCGTGCCTATCAGGAGGATCAATGTGCAGAGTTGGGAGGCTCCTGGTATGAGCGTTGCCAGGCCAGCTAACTGTCATGGTAGGAGAAAGTGGGGGGGGGGGATTTGTCCAAAGTGATGTCACTTCTGGGTGACACTCTAGGAATCCTCCAAATCTCTATGGGTTTATAACATAGTGACTGGGGGATTCCTAGAGTGTTGCCCTTTGCTTCCAGGTTCAGACACATTTCCCACCCACATTCTCTATTGTCGCAATGATCGGTCTTGGCAGGCATGTGAGTGGATTAGCAGGCAAACCACCCACTGGGTGTGAACAGATGGCAACCTTACCCAGTGATCTGGGGATGGAAAATCGGCTAGGATTGCCAAACTCCAGGTGGGAGATAGACCTCCTAGAATAAGTGACAGGCTGTTCTTAGGGACGGACCTTCTTGTCTGCTCCTTTTGTTGTAATGGGTCCCAAGAGTTCATGGCTGGGTGGGGATTTGAACCCAGATAGGATTGCCAAACTCCAGGTGGGAGATAGACCTCCTAGAATAAGACTACATAGATCACTTATTTGTTATTTATTTATTGAAAACATGTATTCCACTTCACCTGAAGAAAATGGCTGCTTTGGAAGGCGGACTACATGTCATTTTACACTGCCAACGTCACTTCCCTCCCTAAAGCCCACTTTCCCAGTCTCTACCCTCAAATTTCTAGGTATTTCCAAACCCTGAGTTGGCAACTCTCCTCCCCTCTGACATTTGTCTACTTGGCAGCATCCTTGTGAGGATAAATCAAGGAGGAAAGAAGGCCATGCTGAGCTCCCTGGAGGATGGACAAGATAATCAATTAATTAATTACCATATGGCAGTGTGTGTAGTACAGCCAGGAGAACCTAAGACTGTCTGGTGGCTAAAAGTCCTAACTCTTTGAGCGTTATGCACCACTAGGTGGTGAGCCAAGCATTTCAGAGGTGGTTTGCCATTGCCTGCCTCTGTGTCATGTCCCTGGTATTCCTTGGAGGTTGCCCGTCCAAGTACTAACCAGGGCCGACCCTGCGTATCTTCTGAGAGCTAACGAGATCAGGGTAGCCTGGGATATCCAGATCAGGGCTATCCAGAGCAAGATAGAAATGCAATAAGAGGTTTGGTCCTGAGCTCCCCAAGCCAAGCCTGCTACCCTACAGCTCTGCCCTGAATGGCCACCCGTGTCCTTTTATACCAAGCGTACCTTTTGTCCTTCACTCACCTTCGAGGACTTAGCCTCAAACACCTGAGTGTGTTTCCTTCAGGAGGGTGGAAGGGTCGTCCCAAGGTGACGCTCCCCGCTGAGTGTTTATTCTTTCCCTTCCAGGTCTGTCACCTCCTGGTGTGAGATTTTTAAAAAGCACACACACAAGAGGGCTTGGCTGTGCAGAGGGAACACCGGCGGTAAGGACCCTACTGCTTGCATGGCTATACCACTTGGAAGGGGATGCTCTGAACATAGACTGTTTTCGTGCCTGGTGCAAAGATATTCCTCAGAGGCTCCATCCCCATGTTATTGGCTACCGAGTAATTGGTTTGCTATAGCAATCATTAGCCATTGGATTGTCTTTTTGGATTATGTGGTGGGTATTGTGTGTGTGTGTCTGTGCTTGCGTGCCTGGAAGTCATGGCAACTTCTGGCAGCCCCTAATGGGGTTTGGACGTTTCAGAGCGGTGGCTCGATTGCTTGCCTCTGCATCCTGGCCCTGGCATTCCTTGGGAGTAAGCCCGACTGGCAAAAATGGCATTTGCTTCTGAGTAGGCCCACTTGGGATTGCTCCCCTTTTGTTTGGCGGCTGTAGTTAATTCAAGCAAAAGCTGGGTGAGGTGTATATCGCTGGGCTTGACCATGTTTTTATTTTTAAGCCCGGGGTGAAATTCTTTTAGAGAAAGATGGAATGCTTTCACACAGGTCCCTTAAAGATCTTTTGGGGCTCTCTGGAGGGGCCGCGGCTCAATGGTAGAGCATCCCTTTGGCATGTAGAAGATCCCAGTTTCGATCCTCAGCATCACCTGTTAAACGGATCAGGTAGTAGGTGATGGGAAAGGCCTCCATCTGAGACCCTGGGGAGCCACTGCCAGTCGGAGTAGACGACTGACCTTAGACCAATGGTCTGATTCAGTATAAGGCGGATCCGTGTGTTTTCTCAGGCTATTTATGAGCATAGGTAAAGGTAAAGGTTCCCTTGCTCGAAAGCCAGTCGAATCCGACTCTAGGGTTGCGGTGCTCATCTCCGTTTCCAAGCTGAAGAGCCAGCGCTGTCCGAAGACGTTTCCGTGGTCATATGGCCGGCGTGACTAAACACCAAGGCGCACGGAACGCTGTTACCTTCCCACCGAAGTGGTACCTATTTATCTACTTGCAATTTCTTGCTTTCGAACTGCTAGGTTGGCAGGAGCTGGAACTAGAGACGGGAGCTCACTCCGTCATGCGGCACCCGGGTCTCGAACTGCTGAACTACCGACCTTCCACAGCCTGCAGTTCAGCGTCTTAACCACTTGAGCCACCGCAGCTCCATTTATGGGCATGCATGAATATTATTCGTCTGTCTGGTACATTTTTCGCTCATCTCCCCACCACCGCTAAGAGCCCAGGATAGTGTACGTGGTCCCCCTTCACCCCTTTTATCCTCACAGCCACCTGTCCTGAGAATGACAGGCTGTTCTTAGGGACGGACCTTCGTGTGTGTTCCTTTTGTTGTAATGGGTCCTAAGAGTTCATGGATGGGTGGGGATTTGAACCCAGGTACAGCTGTGGCATTTTTGTGCCACATCCTCTTGCATATGCCCATAGTGGGAATGTCAGTGGCTGAGAAAATGGGTATTTTGCTTCCACATCTGGCCTGGACTGAAAGCGCTGCACTGGCTGCCAATAGCACACCGAATCCACTTCAAAGTGCTGGTACTTACCTTTAAAGCCCTTCATGGCCCGGGTCCGACTTACCTGAGGGACCGCCTTTCCCCATATATACCCCCAAGAGCACTTCAGTCCGGGGCACAACATCGCCTGGTGGTTCCTGGCCCCCGGGAGGCAAGGCTCGCCACAACTAGGACCAGATCCTTTTCAGTGGTGGCCCCTACCTGGTGGAACGAGCTCCCGGAGGAGATCAGGGCCCTGCGGGACCTTATGCCATTCCGCAGGGCCTGTAAGACGGAGCTCTTCCGCCAGGCTTTCACATAGGGGCCACCACTACCACCGCCACCAATGAGGTGGACAACATCGGGGTTA